TATATGTAGACTTGGCTATGACTAGAGCCGATTCATTCTTTTTGAACAGAACCAGCTAGTTGGTCAAGTATTCCTATCTTCGGGGTCAATTTTAGCCTCAGCTTTTCTTTTTGCAAAGGAAATCTCCCGTCTCTTTATTGCTGTGTGTGTACAAAGAGCTGTTATGCCAACTTTAGATGTAATTTGCAGCCCGTTCTCTGAAAACATTTGATTCCAATCTTTAAGAAAACGAAGCCAATTCTCTTAGGTTGGTAATACTTGTTTTAGTGTTTCTAGAGAAATGAACCAAGCAACCGACAATGGAAAAGATGGTTACTCATCTAATACAAATCAACACAAGGCTGATCTTGCAGAGTGGTGCCAAGCCCACTGGATGCCAGGATTCAGGAGATCTGGGTTAGGAGACCCACCTCTCTCATTAACTCAAGCAGGTTAAGTGCTCTGACCCAGTTTCTTCTTCTGTAAAACGAGAGTGGCTAGACCATCTCAAAGGCTTCCTTCCAGCTTCAGTATTCTTTAGAGACTGAACTGAATTTATAGGTTAGAAAAGTCTTTCAGCATAAAGTGTCTTTCCCTTTTTTAACTCTTTATCAGTGTATTTGTTGGTAAATGATTCCTGAAAGGATGATCTCTTCAAAGAGGGAGCTGGGAACTCACGGGAGTAGGGAACCTTTAAAGGGTTGGAGCTTTTTTCTATTAATTTTTCTATTAATGCTTGAGACTCTCGGTGGGCATGGGATAAACCAAATCATGAGGAAAAAGTCTGAGGTTGTATATTTTCCCACCAGTGTATATGCTCCAAATTGTTTTTGTCTTTATCAAACAGACAGTTGGGAGACTACATACAGTATGCTGAAGGCAAGATATTTGCCTCCCTCATGTTATTTCTCTCCAATTACCAGAAGGATAAGATTTTTTCCCCTACATCTTACAGGGCTGCTACTGGTAGCAATCTTATTCTTGAATCTCTAAACTTGTTGTAAGCAAAGCTGAAAAGGTGTTAACTATGTTTAATTAATCTTGGTTCCTAGAATGAGAGTTGAATTACCAAGTTCATTCTACTCAAACGGCTCTTCTCAAACTCCCCCATGGGCCCAGATATACAGCAGCCAAAGAGCCAAGTCCTAGGCTACACTTGCCATGAGGGTTGTAACCCTATATGCTACTTCCTCATAACTACCCCTCATGAATCTCAAAGGTGTTTTATAAAAGAGCTCCAAGACACAAGTCATAGGAGCCAATATGGAAGGTGGTAGCAACTGAGGATAAAACAAAAAACAGGAAAAATCTGAACTAGGATTTGAATTTTCTCAAAGGCTTTTGGTAAAGCTATTTTTATATTACCCATTACATTACATATTAACTGCACATGTATCAAACAGCGTGTGTGGGAGTCAGAATTTTAATCAAGTGCTGAATGACCACCAAGCTTTTCACTTCTAGGAACACTGACTTTAGAGTTGGAAGATTTGGGTAAAACTCTGGCTCTCCCACTTCCAGCTCTATGACCGTAGGCAAGTTATAACTTCTCCTGCCATTGACTGTAAAATGAGAATAAAATCTCCATTGGCTTATCATATGTGAAAGCATGAATCAAGAAACACTACAAAGGTGGTTCTAATCTTGTTCAGGTAGTGAAATAACTACATGTTTTTCAGAATCTTATGAAGTATTTGATATATTAAACCTGAAATCTATTTTAACTTACATCCAGTATAGTCTACTAAGATTCTACTCTACAGAAGTAGCAGAATACAAGTTTAAAAGAATAGGAAATTTCTGCCAGAGCAGGGCTAGTTTTGTACCCCTAACCCCAGCTTATCAAGGTGTGGGCAAGATGTCTCCCCTTCATTCGACATTCCTACCTCTGGACAAGGGCAGGCCATGGAGGCCACTGGCCTTACAGAGATCAAGCCGTCTCCGGGGATGAGGAGATGCTGACGAAACTCTGTCTCTCCTCTTGGACTCACCAGTGCATATGCTTCAAATTGGTTTGTCAAATTGGTGGGGAGCAGGCTGCTCCTATATGGTAAAGAAAATGTGATTCTCATACAGGGCTCACCTCTCAAATGAGTAAGCCCCGCAGCGTTCAAAGACCACCATCCACCATGGTGTCGTCAGGCTGTGGTGGTAGTGGGAGAGCATGCTGGTGGGAACCCTCGGGCCGCTGTCAGTCCTATCTCGAAAAGGAAAGGGGAGGAAGTCAAAAACTTGAGCATAAAACAGATACCTCGGTCTGGTAAGATACAGCTCTGCTGGACTGCATCTTCTCTCCCCTCCAACACCCCTTTACCACACACATAATTTCCCATCCACTGGGGGGCTGACCCTATTCTGGCCTCAGAAGCCTTCCTGCCTTCCCCACCAGGCAAACACAATGTGGGCAGAGAAGGGTACCTGGGATCCGGTGCCAGAGAGGAACCCAGTTGGCTGGTGCTGGGTCTACTTAAAGGTGTTGCAGACATCTGGCCAGTGTGTCTTCCTCAGAGGGTTGATCACAAAGGATGGGTGTCTTCCCACTTGGAGGATGAAGGGATAGCACACTTTCTGGTCATTGGATACTCTCCCTTTACCCAGGTAGCTTGCTCAGCTTTATCCTCTCAGTGGACACTTGCTGTCCCCAAGGACAATGGTAGGGTCTCCACCTTCCTACCAAGAATGGGGGTACCAGCAGGTGCCCCCAAGAACTGGGCCCTGGGCCAAGAGGAGCTTTCCTGAAAGTGCAGACCTGCAGGTAGTATGGCCAGTCAGCCAGGGCAGCTGTCCCCTCCCCATCTTATATGTATTCCAACCAGGAAAAATGTGCTAGCACATGGGTAGCCGAAGTAGTGGATACATACCTCAGATATCCCCTTGAAGCAAGTGTCTGTATATGTTGTGATTATTTTCTATCTTCTATGTTCTCAAATGTTCATATTTCAATAAAACTCTGCCTTTTCACTCACTCTCACACACACAGTGAAAAAACCTTTAAAACCTTATACAAATTTAGTGATAATGGTCTAAGGTTAGAAATCCTTGGTAACAGGGGATCCCTGGGTGGCTCAGTGGTTTAGCGCCTGCCTTCAGCCCAGGGCCTGATCCTGGAGACCCGGGATTGAGTCCCACGTCAGGCTCCCTGCATGGAGCCTGCTTCTCCCTCTGCCTGTGTCTCTGCCTCTCTCTCTGTCTCTCATGAATAAATAAAATCTTTAAAAAAATAAATCCTTGGGAACAGAACTCAAAAAAACGACGTGCTGTATTATCGAGCTGTCTCTACTGCTATACAAATATGCATCAGACTTTGATGTTGTTACCAAGTGATATTTTAAATACTACTTGGGATTAACTCCAGTGGACTGGCAAAGCCTTTTATATAAAAAGTCTCCATTATCCCAAGATCAATTATTACAATGTAAGTACAGCCTACTGAGTGCCAACTTCAGTGAAGCTAACCCTCAAATACCACTTACATTAATGTGAACAAAAGGTGAGCTGCTAACAAAAAAACAATAATGTGGCTTAAACAAGGAGAACATTTATTCATCTGTTACATAACAGTTTAATACTCCATGCAGTCATGCAGGGATCCAACTTCCTTCCATCTTGTGGCTCTGCAACAAAGCAAGGCTGAGTAGCTATGGCTACTACTTCGGCGGAATGGATAAAAAAAAAAAAATCACAAAGGAGCACATCTACCATCTGGCCCTTAGACCCCAGGCCAGAAGTAGAAGTACTTTCCACACAAACTCCATAGGAATGGACTTAGTCACTTGGTCACACCTAATTGCAAAGGGGAACACAGCAAATATAGTTCTAATCAGTCATATAACTCAATTTCAACTCTATTACCATTGAAAGGGGGAGAAGAGATTCTGCTAAATGCCTTTGTTATTAGTCATTCCTTTCTCCTCCTCCTCCCCTACTTTTTCTTTTCTTCACTGAATTGAGTAACATCAGTGCTCTCAAGTGAACAGGCAGGAAGGGGATGGTAAACGTACTGTGCATAACCCGCTAACCTTGATCTGGTCAGCAGAGTGTGGGCATTACTCACAGGTGCCAATTTGAGCAGTGTTACAGCTGAAAAGTCACCTGGTGGCTGGCTGCCCTCAATACTGCATACTGTCGGTAGGAACACTTCAGGGATAACAAGATCACTGTCTCCAAAGTTGTGGTGAAAGAACTGTTACAGCCTTCTTTGGAGTTTAGGTTCCCTTGCAGGAAACTCTGAAATGAAACTGAAACCACTGTGTATTTGGACAGTGCAGATGGAGTCCTTTCTTAAGGGTACCTGGCTTTCTCTTTCTTCAGGAGGTTCTAGGTCTATAAACCGGCTCAGAGTTCGTAAGTAACTGAGGGGCTGTGAGAAATCAATCTATTTGGCAGGAATAAATACAAAGGTATTTTCAAAGGTACGATTTTTAAATATTATTCTTGAGTAAGTAGGAGAGAAAGGATAAAACTATAAACATTCAGAATCATTCATTCTGCTGTCAACCTATCTTCCTACATTTGTCCCCATCATTCCCAGCCAGCTTTGGTCACACAGGCCTGTATCTTTCTCTATACCATTCCTTCTTCCTAGACTTCTATTGTTTCCCGTTCTCTGCCTGAATAAGTCCTAGTCCTCCAAAGACCTAGGGGTCAAATGTCACTTTTTTTTAAGTGCCAACGGATACAAGTACCTACAACATTCCAAACCGTGCTAGGAACTACGTCATAAAGATGTCGTTCCTCCAGAGGTTATTATAAAGAGGTAGGATTTTAATCCTAGTATTCTCTGAAACTTAAATTCATAATTACACAATTACTGGGCACTCAGTGCGCTCAATCTTATCTTGTTAATTGCTTGCTTAGTTATCAAGACTCCTTAAGTCACCAAAGTTAATGGTTTCCCAGTTCTTCCATCCTGATGCTGAGTGGGTGAACTGAACATTGAATAATCTTGCAGTAGAGAATAATAAAAATCTACATTTCAGGAAAATATTTTAAGCCTGTTAAAGAGAAAAAAAGACAATCCAATTATTTAAACCTGGTTGCTTTATTTTACACTTTTAAAATTCACAAAAAGCTTCACAATATCTGCTTTCCTCCTGTTGATAGGCAAAGCTTTATGGTAAGACAATGAAACATTTATCTTATCAATTGGGCATACTCCAAAACAATGGATAATTTACAAACAAATTTCTTTAATCAAGAACATATTGCAAAATACACAGTCTGGTACACATCTGAATTCAACTATCCTAAAATCGGTCTTTAAAAAGCAAACAGATTTAACACTGACAAGCCTACCAGAATAATGCTGATGGCAAGCTATAAACAGCTTTAAGTGTTGAATGTAATTTGGGGGAAGGAGAGAAGAAATTATCAGTTGAACCTACATTTAAATGAGTCCGTAAGTAAAACCTCTAGTTGAATGAATTTCTAGTTTAATGAATTTCAGCAAAATGAACAACTCCTTTGCCTTGATGGTAGTTTCTCAACTTTTATTTTTAAACTTTGATATCTTGACTAAAGGAATTGAATCCTAGAATCAGAATTTTTAAGGAAAAAACAAAGGGGTACGGGAGAAACAGTATCAGTACTTTCTTAGTCTTTCTAAAGTGGGTAACAAATAAAATCACTGTTCATAATTATGGAAGACTACCAGAGATGCTGGTATGGGGTTTAGTTTTAGCTTATGTTCAATATCTAAATGGCAAAAATAAGAGTTCAAGGCAGTCTCATATAGGAAACTTAAGAAAATAATTGTGTTCAAGCAGTTTTTACATTGTGGAATAGCATAGTACATATTTTGAGGCACCCATTATAGGATTCACCAAAATTATTTATACTGCTGTTTCCACTTGTAATATAATTTTTAGCTCCTCTGGGGTAGCTCTTTACATATTATCAATATAGGCCACTAAAGATAACACCAGAATTCAAGTGAGAAAAGAATGGAAATGGAAAGAGGATGGGAGGATAATGAAACTGGGTAGTAATAACAAGCATGATTTTTAAGGTTTCCTAATGCCACAGAAATACATATTTTGGCTAAATGCCACTGGCCAGCTGGAAGGGGATCAGGAAATGAGTAGAATATCCTAATGGCTCCAGTCAGATCTTTAACTACCCCGTGATTTGGACGGCTTGCTCATGGATAACTGTTTCCACAGACTGCGTGGTGAGGGGTACTGTGCTGGACTTTACTGCCTATTCCACTCTTTGTTAAAAAGGGCATCAGAACAAAGATCTTGCTAAGACTACAAACGGAGATTAACAAATGCATAATCTGTAAATGGTTTGATTATGGATATGTTATCAATGACCTTCCTTCTTGAGATCGAAAATATAGGCCTTGGGAAAAAAAAAACTGCATTATTCCATCATATTCTAAATTTTTCTCTTTCAATTAGAAGTTTTTAAAGAAATTTTCATTTGAAAAGCTCTCATCTTTCACTTCAAATTGCCCCTTCTCTTGGTCTTATATATGATATTATTTAAGACTCCTATATCTGGAAGAGTGGTCAGGAGTTTTAGGATTATTTTAATAGAAGACATTGAGTACATTTACTTGGAAAAATAGGATTTTATAAGGGGTCTTTCTGAGATTTAAGTGCTCTATTTTATCACAATGGGAGTCTCAAAGCAAATATTCTATAAGACACTAAAGTATTCAGTTTATTTGGATATTTAAACATACTAAAAGTTACAAAGCCTAAAATAAGCAAGCAACAAGTTAATAAAATCACAACTCAGAATTCTAACATTTTCACATGGTATCACTGACTATGAAATGCAAAATATAAATGTTTTAAGTGGAATGATCTCTAACCTATAAATTACCAAATTGTTTGTGACCAAAACAAATGATCGCACACTATAGAAGACAACAGAACATAAGCTATTCTCCAGGACTGCTTTTTCAAAGCTTGAAAAATTATTTCATCATTTTAGGGGGGGAAAGATAAGTATGGATTAGGAGGCCCTACATGTAGATTTTTAAAATTCTAATTAAAATATCTTCAACTATTTTAGATATTTAACATTGGAAATGTGGTCGGCAATCAAAGTATTTCTCTTCATCACAAAAATTCCATATATTAAGGATTTACACAATCCAGGAAAAAACAAACAACCTAGTAACGTTTTTTGTTGCCTGAGCAATTTTCTAAAAAGGCTCTCCAAAATCTTGACTAGAGGTATCATACTCTGCAATGAAATGCTTGAGTTCTTCAACACACCGCTCACCTATTTCATGTAAGTTTTGTCTCAATGCAAACTGTATAGACTTTTCTAATGAAGGATCTTTTTCAATCAGCATCTTCACAACCATCCCAAAAGTTTCACAGTCCTGTCGGTAAACCTAGAAAGGTGAAATACTCAGTGGTTAGCTAAGAATAAAAATAATTACCCATACACTGAGCTGATTCAGTTAGCAAAATGATGATGCTGAAGTCTAAAAGGGAGATACAATGATACAATTGAACCTCCTTCACCCTTGAGGAGTCACTACTGTCAAACACTATTTAAATAACCCTCTATTTCTGAGATATGCTGACAACATGAATGAGCAGAAAAACATCGATATACCACATCACTGACTACAGAAGTTAGGCCTGGCATTTGTTATCATTAGGCAGTCAATTAAAAGGACATCAGACTGGAGAGGAACCAAGAACAAAGGCTCACTAGGTAAGGCACATTCATGGATTTATTCATTTGCTTGTTTGGAATAAAAAAGTTTCTGAGCCCCTAACTTTAGATTCTTTGTTTGAATCATGACCAGATGACAAATTCAGTATCTATTTGAAAAAAACTTTTCAAGTTATAAATATTTAACCACAGTTAAAGTCACCAAGGCAGAGTTAAGATCAAAACAATGTCATACACACACACATCCACATATATGTATACACATATATATATAAACACACGCATATATACATATACACATGACTATATGAATACATGTATATATTTTCTACCTCAATGTGCATATTTTACTATTTTGCTTCAATATGTATACAATATGTATATATAATCTTTATCAGAGGCATTCAGATATTATTCCCTATCCAAAAACTGCTAGGTTTTCTCCCCACTAAATATCATTTCCGTCATTTGTAGTCACAAAATGTAATTTAGATGTCTATGCTATTTTTCATACTCTGTAGTTCATGTATTTAAAGAAAAATTAGTTAAGTATCCATGAGAAGTGAAATAGAAATTATCTGATTTAAAAGAACTGTTAAATGAATTTAATTTTTTCTAAATTTAACAAAAACAATATAACATGTTTATTATCTGAAAAAGGATTTATTCATTTGGGAAAACTTTAGAAAGGAGTGACCTGAGATACTGCTTGGCTTATGAGTTTGTATTCCTCTAATGATCATTACTAGTTGTTGTAGTTGCCACTGTTATTTTTTAAATATCGACAATATTTTTTTATCCCTTAACAATAGCTATTTCAAGAAGAATAGTTAATTTTGACTTGCAATACTAGGTTGCTAAGTTGTACTAAATTCATTTCCTTGCTCTTAAAATCATTGCACAAGCCCCAAGGAAATTAACAGAGTAAATTCTTCAATGAACCCAGAAATTGAAATATGTAAAGCCTTAGCTGCTTTCTCCATCTCACCCATGCCCCCACACATTGGTGTGTGAGGAGATTTACTCATAACCATTAAGCTTAATTCTCAACTGTTTTCTAAATCAACCATTTATTCCAGTTTATCCTAAGCTTTCTTCCATGACCCAGAATTGATATTACTATTCTAACAAACCAACTTAGAAAACAGTACACCATTCACATATTACATGATGTCAGGGCACCAGAGCACATTGACTGGTTTAAAAAACATAGTACCCAAGTCAAGCCAATGCAGTCCCCATGGGGGAAAGTCAGAACCATGATGTTTCAGTCCTAGTGGAGGTAAATTCCTTACCAAACCAGTCAGCCCACATAATAACAGCATTCTAACACCAACCACAGGCCTCAGCAGACCACTTTGTGGGTGGCCTAAATTTTATAGACTTCTTTTTTAGCAGATGTAGAAGATGAGGATAATGTTACACTGTGAATTAACCTGCAAATTCTTTAATGTAAATCTGTTTTACCTAAACTGTAACTCTTCGTTTAGCATATTTACCGAACATAAATGTGCTACAGATTTGCATATCAAAGGTAAAAACATATTAAAATGTATTCATACATTTATTTAAGCTGTAAAGTACTATCACTCTGGAGACAAGATAATACAAGCATTTAAAGATTGTGTTTTATTTTTTAATTGTAAGTTCTTTTTGGATTAATTCATTGTAACAGGCAAATTTCATATGTTAGCAGACAAGAAAAACCAGAACTACCCAAAGCAACGTAATTCTCCATGAAGGGGTAAATTTTCTTTTCTTTTTTTTTTTAAGGGGTAAATTTTCTAAAAGACTATTTAAAATGTAGTGGTTGGGCATTAGACAGGAAATAATTAGCTTATTGTTAAAGGAAGAACCTCACCCTCCAACATTTTATAAATAAAAAACACAACTGTCAGAAACCTATTTCCGAAATCTGTTCCACAGTAAACTCAATCCCAAACAGGAAGGGTGTAGTTATCTGTAGGAGAGCTTGTTTGCTTATGGTCCCTGGCTGGAAATGCATTAATAATCTTCAGATCTGATATCTACAGGCCACACAGGAAGATTTTTTTGTTGTTGCTTTTTCCCCTGATTGAATCTCATCAAAATGGGAATCGGGTTAAAGTATGGGTGGGGTTTACACAAACTGCATAGAAATATAGTTAAATTTGCCAAGATAATGAAAACACTACCCAAATGAGGTTTCACACAGTACTTATCAGAGTAACCTGTCCTAATAGTTAAATTCTCACCAAGTATTTCTAGGAATAAAGGAATATACTAAAACTGTCAAGGCTTCTTACTATTAATTATGCTCTTCAGTGACTGGAAGAAGAGTGTCTAGCAAGTTTGTTCTATTTAAAATTGCTCATGACATAAAACTCCTCGAAAATATGTAACATTTAGTCCTTACCTCTGTGTCCAAAAAACGAGAAACCAAAAATTAAGGCAACGTAAGTTGTTAGTAGAATTTTCATTTCAGATAAACCTAATCTTTAGCATTTGCATTAAAGTTCTCTAAGAGCTGAATTCTACCATTGGTGGAATGGTAGAGATTACAGAGCTGTACTATCTAATACAGCAGCCAGAGCAGAATATGTAAATTTAAATATATATGCATATACTTATTTAAGATTTAATTCATAATTTATATTAATATTAGGAGGTAACTGGAGGTTAACTGTAAAAGTCAGACGTGCATATAGCCTTAAAAGTCTGGAGATTCAAATGAGTTATCTTCTCTATTATTGGTACCTCATCATTTCATATAATTTCCTTTATCTGAACTTATTTTGTTCAAATGCTCTATGTTCTGTTTCAGGAGGGTCACATCCTAGTGGGAGAGGTAAACAAAGACAATTAAAAGACATTAGAAAGAAGACACTTAGATGTAGATGGTAGTAGGGAAGCCAGAAAGAGCAGAGAAATGGTTACAAGAGCAGGCTTACCAAGTTTAAATCCTGGCTCTATTACCCTGGTAATTAGAATAATGCCCTTCACATCCCTGCCCCCAAGATGTCCATACCTAGTCCCTGGAACCTAAAAATGTGTCCTCTGACATGGTATAAGGAATTTTGCAGCTATGATTATGTTACACATTTTGGATAGGGAGATTTATCCTGGATTATCTAGAGGGGCAAAATGTAATCACTAGAGGCCTTCAAAAAGGAATGAAGGAGAAGTAGAAACAGAGAAAATGATACCACATAAACAGAGACTGAGTGATGCACTTTTAGGAAGGAGCTACCAGCCAAGGAATGCAGGCAGCTCTAGACACTGTAAAGGCAAGGAAACATTCTCCCCTGGAGACTCCAGAGAAATGTAGCCCTACAGATACTTTGATTTGGTCCTGGTAAAACCCAGTTAGTACTTTACACATTCTTCTCAAGCTTACATGATACATTCACCAGGACAGATCACATCCTGGACCATAAAACACACCTTAACCAATTTAAGAGAACAGAAATCATACAAAGTATGCTTTCAGATCACAATAAAATTAAATTAGAAATCAACAGAAAATGGCTAGAAAATCCTAGAACTGGAGATTAAACAACCTACTTCATAAAATCACATGGATCAAAGAAGTCTCAAGAGAAATTATATTTTGATTTGAATGAAAACATTTATCAAAATTTATCAAATTTTGTGATGCAGCAAAGCAGTACTTAGAAATTCATAGCATTAAATACATGTTAGAAAATATGAAACCTATAAAATTAATAATCTAGGCTCGGAAACTAGAAAAAGATGAGCAATTAAATCCAAAGAGAGGAAAAAATAAAAATTCTGATTTCTGCTCTGGCAGAAATTAGTGAAAGTGAAAATAGTAAAATGGAAAATGAATGAAACCAAAAGCTGATTCTTTGAAAACACCAAATTGATAAATCTCTAGCCAGCGTAATCAAGAAAAAAACAGAGGAGAAAAAAGTTATTAATATCAAAGTTGAAACTGGGGCCACTACTACTCATCTCATGGACATTAGACAGGTTATCATGAATATCCCTACTAATTTGATAACTTAGATGAAATGGACCAATTTCTCGAAAGACAGTCTACCAAAACACAAACAAGGAGAAATAGATCATTCGAATAGGCCTACATCTAGGGAAAAATACGAATCGACAATTAATAACCTTCCATAACAGAAAGCACTAGGCCCAGGTGGTTTGAATGGTGAATTCTATTCAACACTAAGGGAAGAAATGATGCCAATTCTCTACAACTTGAGGCCAGCAAAATCCTCTTATCAAAACCAATGATATTACAACAAAGGAAAATTACAGACCAGTATCTTTCATGAACATAGATGGGAAAAAAAAAGAAAAACCTTCAACACCAATATTAGCAAATCCAAGAACATACAGAAAGAATTATGCACCACAACCAAGTGGGATTTATTCCAGGAATGCAAGCTGTGTTCAACATCTGAAAATCAATAAATGCAATCCATCACATCAATAAGCTAGAAAATAAAAATCATAGGATCTTAATAATAGATGTAGAAAAAGCATTTTAACAAAATCCACGACAAATTGATTCATGACAAAAACTGTCTGCAAACTAAGAATAAAGGGGAACTTCTTCAACTTAATGAACAATATCTACAAAAACCCTAAAGCTAACATTACATGGTGAAACAGTAAATGTTTTCTTCCTAAGATAAGGAACAAGACAAGGATGTCCCCTTTTACCACTCCCAGTATCATGACCCAAATTGAAGGCGA